TGTAAAATGCTATTTTATTAGGACCATTTCCAATCCCTCAGGTAAACTTCAACGAAATTTCAATGTGTTTGTTTATTATAATCCTTTAAAGATCTGTTTTTTTAAATAATAATTATATTTTAACACGATCATTAAACGGTCATTTTTTTCTTTAATTTCAAATCATTGTTGCTCAGTAAAAGTTCACTTTAAAAAATACTCCTGTAAGCTTTTAAACATGGTCTTTCGAAATTTGAATTTATGTTTTGATTTGCCTGTCGTATGGGTCAGTTCCTTGCGGCTTGAGTCGATATTTTTTGGCAAATGTTTAAAAAGACAATGTACATGTATGCCTAGCAATAGTAAAAATATTGCCCTCGTTCTTACGTCACAGCCCCATAGCTTCTGACAGGAAGAAAAAAAATCTTGTAAGACAGTAATAACACGACATTTAAGAGACGTGTAGATAAGGTATAATTTATTTATTATTTTAGATGTAAAATAATTGAAGTTGAAATCATGAAGTTTTATTATATTCTTATAGCATTTTGATTATCATATTATGTTGTATCTCTCGCATTAAGTTACATGTTGAGTTTTTTTTTTTTTTACTTAGAATTTATTTTTCTTGTCAAGCGTAAAAATTATAACAGTGTTTTTAAAATATTTGCAACGGTGTATTAGCATCCAAAAAGATTTTTTAATTAAAAAAAAAACTCTTACATGTTGGGGGAGGGGGAGGGAGGGGAATAGTAAAGAAAAGAAATGGAGACGATCTCCCCAAATAAATAAATGAATTTGGTACCTAATGTCATCTCTGTTAAGACTATTCATCCGTATATCTTCATTTTATGTATTCGATCTTTAGGAAGTGACAAAACCTTTGTTAATTAAAAATCTCTTAAGAACATTTACTTAATATACGGAATGTGTTTTTTTATTAAAGAAATTCGGGTGCATCGGTGGTTTTAACAGTATACATTGTATAACCCTCGTTCTATCTGTTTTGTACTCGAAATGGTTTTAGTTCTTTAGAATAAAGTAAAATTATCTCTTTGCCCCCAAACCCCTAACAATTCCTTGAAGACTAAGTTAAAATTGGGTAGTTATATAAAAAGAGAATCTTGCAAACCAAACATCTGATTTATATAATTTATCATCTTTAATACAATACAGTTGTTATTCAATTGTCTCTGAGAACGCAACTTATAGAATATAAAAAAAAATATATTTATTGTGCAATATGTCTTTGAAATTCTGAACGGGGTTTTAATGTATGCTTAATTCTCAGTCTGATACAAACATCAGAGGGGTGCAACCATTTCAGTTAAATAAACTTGACATAATCCGAACAATGTATTATGAAATGACTTTATTTGCAAATAAAAAGTTCACAGTCTGTTTGAGAAGCTTTAGAATAGCGTAATAGGAAAAGTTATATGGAGTTGCATCTTTGCCCTTTCCTAACGAATTTATGAAATGGTTAGGAGCAAGTATTTTTTATCGCAGTGGACAAAACATAAACTTGCATAAATCATTTATCAAATGTTTTGAATTGCTATTTTTTCAGATACAAGCTTTGATATGAAAAGACGTTGAACTTTTCGATTGTCATCAAAAACTTTGTATTGATATTGAGATTAATCTAGCACACTAAAAAGAGGCGAGACTTCTTATCCAGTTTCCAAACATATCTTAAGTCCTCCAATTTCGTTACTTTTCAATTTTTTTTTTATAAAACCATCTCTGGCTTTGAACTGTATTTTTGCAATTTATAAAATGGTATTAAAGACATTTTCAGAATATATTCAGTCTGAGTAAAGAAACTTGGCTATTTTGTTTTTAAGAAAAAGCTTTTTTTAAAGACATAGATTCAATTCAGAAATACGGCCTCCAAAATAATTGTGCAAATATTTAAACTAAGTTTTAATTATCTTTAGAAGCACAATTACATAAATCGTATCGTGGCATTATCATTGTGACAAATTCTTTAACTGGTGACGATCCTTAAGTTAGATAGAACGACTGGGTCATTTCGACACTTTAATATACTTACTGACATATACATATTGTATTGTTTCTAATTAAAGACCAATTAACACAGCAATTTGTTCAACAAGTGCACAATTTCGGTGTTATCGATAACGTTCTTAAATAGTTTGTTACGTGTATAAATGTATCAGATCGGGAAATCTAGTTGGGATTTAAAATTTGCAAAGAACATGACGACCCCTTAGATTGCTCAAACTAAATGCACGACAGATAATTGGGAGAGATTAAATGTGTCTATTTTCTGAGACAATTTGGCAGTATACTTTACAAATAATTAACTAGGTCCCAAGCTTTAAAATAGATACTGTAGATGAATTGATGACGTCGTCATTCCAAAGAAAGACTGCAATGGTTTATGTATACATGTACGTATGTATAAGAACAGTTCTAGTTCAATTAAAATATATCGAGCGGTCTGTAAAAAGTAAGTACTATTTGTATATAAACTATTTACCCTTTGAAAATGTATGTTAAAGATAGGGCTTGAAGTATGAAAATTTGCTGAATATCGTATTGCAATGATTTTTCTTTCATTACCTTTACATGCAGTGTATTTATATTTATATTATACGTTAGCTATATCTAGAGCTGGTTGAATAATTCGTAATAAATACAGTTTCTCCTAAACTCATGATTATATTTTAGTAAAGTAAATTAGGATTTTTTCCCCAATTTTTTTCAATGGCACTTTTAGAAGAATATAAATATTGAATTAAGAATTTTAGAACTGCAAATATATAGGGTAATAAATTTCCCCGTGAATATAAGCAATAATTTTATTTGCACTAAATCTGAATGTTGAATTTTCACACACTTGATTTTCTGCTAAGAAGAAATATTTCAGTTCTGAAAAGTTGTTTTGGATTGCATATTTACCACCAGGAATGTAAATACTAAGAGAACCCAGGCTTCATATACATGTACGCTTTCCACGTATATCTTAATTAACAAAGCCTTTATGTACACTTAAGAATTTAAAATTCACTCTGAATATATAAGGACTGAACGTCAAAATACGTTATACAAACAAAATATTAAATTCACTCTTGACATGATCGGGTAAAAAAAAAAGATAACAATGATCATGGGGTCTTTATACTTATCGTCAGTAGGCATCAAAGTCTCCATTACCCCCACTTAAAGATACTTAAATATGTTCCTTTACAAATGAGAAATGCATTCCAATTCGCTTTTCCCTCGCTGTTGCCGATAACATGGGTCAAGGCGTTGTAAAACATTGAATTAAGACTTTCTAGATGGTACCGAAGAATCAACACTCTATGTTTTCTCCCTAAGGAGCAACAATCCCATGACGTTGGATTATGTCTTGTACATATTTTATGCTTTAATAATCATATTTAAAGGAAACAAGGCGCTTCGCGGAGAACACGCAGAAAAAGAGGTAATTGATTTTAGCAATTGTGCAACAGTTGGAATCCAGAAATGGTACTATTTTATTTATCAATTTGCGAAAGCCGCTTTTAGATTCCTTTTTGGGGGTATACATAATGCATGCATACTTGTATCGAATGTTCAAATGAAAATAGATAATTAACAATTGATTGCTTCATTGATTTCTATTATGTTTCTTACCGACGAAAAAACAATCGATGACAGTAATTAACCATAAATTTTAGGAATAGATTTAAGTGATATTTATAGAAAACGCATTACGTCACAATTTATAAACATCAATGTCATTTCAATATTAGGAGAATGTGAAAATAACCTCCACAGACTCGATGTATAAAACTTCTTGGAGTCACTTCTCTGCCTGAATCACAGTGTTGTTCTCATTTTTTTTTTTCAAGAGTTGCCAAAAGTGTTTTATTCCATCATCTGTATATCTGATGCCTTTGTCTAAATATATTTAATATCACTGTCACGTGGTTCACAATACAAAAATTGTTCGGCACTCAAAAGATTTTTTTCATCCATCGGATTTTGTTGTGCGTTAAAATTTCAGAAATTAAAAGTGTGGACTCTTTTTTCGATTACTTTATAAGAAAATATAATGAAGAAGATTTCCTTTCATTCAGGATATTTTTGCCACTATCTCTCAAAATCATGATCAAACTAACAGTCTGAAATTTATCCATCACTTTACAATTTTTGTTGTCGCCCGCGTGGCGCAGTGGTAGAGCGTCTGCTCTAGAGTCGCGGAGTAAGGAGTTGATCCTTACGTCGCGGGTTCAATTCCCACTGTGGGACGTGGAGACCGGTCCTTCGGATGAGACCGTATAAACCGAGGTCCTGTGTCGCAGTAGGTGCTGGCACGAAAAAGATCCCTTACTGCTCAATGGCCCTAAGTGCCGAGCATAGGTCAAAATTTGCAGCTCACCACCGGCAGTTGGTGGCGTCTCCATATGAGTGTAAAATTCTCGAGAGGAACGTTAAACAACAAACAAACAATAAAAAAACAATTTTTGTTAGATTATTCCCATCCACTTCGTTCGGTTTTCCATTTTTTTAAAAATAAATACTTTACAATGATTGATTTTAAGTACAGGAAATCGTTAATTCATAGCGGAAAGATATGCAACTGCGTTGAACGCGAAATAAATTCATATGAGAGTCAGTGCATGTATAACGACCCCAGCTTTTGCTGACTTCTGTAGAAAAGAAATTTTCTCAAAACGTGTACTACTTCTGTTTTCTTTTCCTGCATGTTTGTCTATTAGTCAAAACTAGCATTTCTTCAAAACCTTTGCAGTCTTTACCTTCAGTATCATGTAACGAAACAATTTCCTTTCAATCTGAATTTCAAATGAAGGGATGAAATCGGAAATGATAGGATAATTGACCAATCTCTGCAACTCTCGCGCGTGAGTTGCGGTCCATTCCAATACTTAATTCCGTTCTGTCAGTCGCCTTTACTTGCAAAGAAGCTATTCTGATGAAAAATTGCCCCCGAGATTTCTCAATTTATTAACTTTCGAAAAAAAACCGAATTCTATTTTCAGTTGACGGTCCCCTGCAATTAGTAGTCGCCGAAAACTGGCAGATACGAAAAACTGGCCAATCATTTGAGAGCCTGATTTATTAATGCCATTAGTCACACTTGTGCGACTTTGCAATACATCACAACATGTAGCATTAGAGCGCGTCAAGTGATGATTGGATAAATGGAAACACAATTCAAGTTCCATCAACTAAGTAATGTCTTAATTTTCTCATCCTTAGATTCATCAGCAAGGCACGCCAGAGTTATGTAAAAAGGGCGTTTGTGAGAACACGCACGTTCGGTAAGTATACTTACAATATTTTGCAATGCTTGTTAAATACCCTTATAAATTTTTAGTCTTATTTTAAATGCAATTTTTATACATGAAAAAAATGCAAATTACGTTCCACAAATGTCATGAATGTATCCGTATTTAAATGATGTGTAGTTGCATTGTTAACAACCATTGCCATGTCTATCTACATTTAAGAAAATATATATGATGCTTAATCAACATCGATATATTTTCTTGTTTTGTATGAGAATCTGTGACAAAAACTGTTGTGTTAATCTGAGTATTTCAGGAGTATGTTACACTTTACTGAAAGATACTATCTATAAGAATTAATATACATTTAAAGAATGTCCAAAAGTAATTCTTTCCTAACGACTTATCTTCCCTACGTAATGACAACTTCATGTCAGATTAGATGACATATGAATGTGATATATATAGGATAAATCATATGGAATTGATATCTACTTAAAGTACTGCAACATATAATATCTGTATTAAAGAAATAGGACAACTACAAGTATATTTTGAAATAAGGGTGTTCATTCATCAACGGTGTCCTTGGTTGATGTAGAATAATCTAACATTCCTGCGACACTTCTTTCGTGATAATTAAATATGAAAACTATTGTAGCAACGGTAAATGTATAACAGATTCGTGACAATGTAATGCCTACAGGCACGGATCCAGGATTTTGCGTTAGAGGGGAGATATTAGAGGGCGAGGGATCTGGAAACGGCCAAGGTTCCCAGCTGGTTAAAGAGTCTTCCCGGTGAGGGCCAGGGTGCGAATTTAGAGATGCTTATTTTGACACATAAATGACTTCTATAAACTAAAGACTAATCTGAGTTTCTTCCAGAAAACTTTATGGAATTACGAAATAATTCTTTCCTTTTCTTACACGTAATTTGAAGAATATGTAAAAATTTATAAAAAGTTTCGGCATACATTATATTTTAAGTAATAATTCCCCCTTTCTTTAGCGAGTGAATTTCGAAGGGACCATGCTATGGCACTGATTAGATGGATTTTCTTTAAACCCTAACTTTGAAATACTATCAATTATGAATTATGTGTCACTAAATGTAATATTTACATTGCACAGTCGCTGAACTCCTCATAAAGTACTTGCTTTTCAGGTGTCAAAGAAACGCAAATGTGACACCTCTTACATGTAAATACAAGATACGAAGTGCAAGTTACAGTCCATGTAAATTTTGGTATTAAAAGATTAACTGTGATTGATATTGTTTAATAAATACCTATGTATATTGATTTAATCATTATATGTTGTACTTTCAGTATGAAGAACATTTTCCTTTAATTACGGCGCTTTTAAGCACAAATATGCATGTATAATCGATGATAAGTGACTCTTTAAAATGAATTCTAAAATTAAAATACTTAATATCTATTCCTAAGATCTCAAGTATTTTAAAAAAAATTTTTAAAGAAAGTCATGAGGATTAGAACTTTTCATACGGATATGTTTCATAAACTAAAAGCGGTCTCAATCAGTTCAGCAGCTTTCTGTTGATAATCGAAAATATTACCTTAACCACGAACAGAGAAATACATGTATGTTACACATGCAAGATGTTACAATTATTGATTTAAAAGTGCATTATCATTTTGTTTTTATTTTAAACAGAAAAATGGGTCAACAAATCAGTGTAGAAACGTTATGTGGACAAGATGAAGACTTGGAGGGGCGATACTGGTGCAGTTTTGAACCTTATCCATATAGAGTCGGTGCTCGAAAGCTCTCATACATGGGGATACTGAACGGTGAAGGCCCACGGAGAGGAAAGCGATGTCTCGTGAAGGCATTCCGGCAAGGCTGTGCCACAAGGGCGGATTGGCATCATGAAAAAGAACGAGCGATGATGGCGAAATCTTTAGCTTTAGAGTTTAATAGAGAAATGTCCGAAATTGGTGAACGTGTGAATCTTGTATTCCATACTCCAATGCTTGTTGAAATCGACGAAGTTTCTTCATATATGTGCATAGCTATGTTTCTTGGCAAGCCAAGAAAGAAAATGAGAGAGCTCGAATATGTTTCTGTGGAACCGTATCTTTCTGGAAAATTCCAAAACTTTAACAGTTCCAAGACGAAAATGTTTGACTCCATGGTCATGAACGCTTATTCTCATTACACTTGGTGCTGCACGCAGGGAGAATGTGTTGTTACAGGAATGAAAGGTGTGAAACAATTTGAAAACTATTATTTGACCGTACCAGTCGTTCATTCTCGAGACCAAAAATACGGTCGAACAGACATGGGACAAATGGGGATAGATAACTTCTTTGCTAATCACCAGTGTAACGATTTCTGTCGGAACCTGCCACGGTTGGATGAACTGGCTTGCTTTCCAAAAGACTGTGACCTTGATCTTGTAGCTTTTCAGCTAGAAAGCGCGGGATTTTTCACCAAGAAAATGAATACAGAATTTCTCGCATCGCCAAGAAAAATTGGCTCGACTGTTCATTGCGATAAACCTAGTCACTGTGTTTGTGAATTCTTCCGCCTCCCTTGCCCACACAGGATTGAACACACTTCCGGATTAATTTATGCGATCAATCGTTCGTTTGTCCAAGAAAAGAGCAGATAATTTGCATTCGATACGAATTTTTAACACAGAAGTCAATTTAGAGAAAACACACGATATTAGAAAATGAACAATTAATCTACGCATATCATGCATGTACTCTTGGATATCATCTCTAAGGTGCTTTTAGCGCAAATTTACTTTCAAGGTTAACATGACTTTTTCATGCTTCAATTGTCCGGCGAAGCTGAGTGTGAGCAGTGCTGACGTCATCAGAATCAACCTTGAGTAATTTACCTTCTAAACCACCCCTCAAACTAGACTATAAATAAAGTCAGATTTGGAAGAGGGATGATAGCTGGTCGTTTACCTTTTACTGTAACATATGTACAATTTTCCCGTATACGTACTTAGATTTTTTATTGAATTTTAAAGATGTCGGAATGTATCTTATCCTTGGTTTTGAGTGAAGTTGGCAGAAATTTAGCACGTTATTAAAACATCTGGTCAGTTGATCAACTATTCTAAAAGATTAATATTTGTGCTCCTATCAATGTTGCACACTGAATGAGTGGACTTTATGTTGTTCCTTTACTTTTAAGTTGAAGGGTTTTTACGGGATTTACTCTAATTCCATGATTGTGTATTAGTCAAATCAATAGATGACTGAATTTTAAGATGGGTGCTCACTTACCTAAATAAATATCTCAAACGGAAAATTTGTAGTATGGACAGTTCAGAGTCCTGCTTAAAATAGGAATACATTATTCTAAGCATATACCTTATTTAAAAAAAATGGCTGAATCTTTTGTTATGTCTTTTTTGATACCAAAGTTGTTGATATTATTAATTATTGCAGTGTTTGTTATTAGTATTTGTTAATAAAAGTTGTTTTCTGTTAAAATCGTATTGCGATGAATGATACATTAAAGGTTTCGATTCAATCTGAATATTTTTGTTATAGTTTTTGAGATAAATTATAAATGCAACGATGCCGAGCTCGCTCGCTCTCTCTCTTTCTCTCGCGGCCTTTTCCGGCTGTTCCACACGTCTTTAACATTAGTGTCTTATTGTAAGATATCCAATCCTCTCTAATAATCAATATAATATTTTTACCTACATGTAAATGAAAGAACAGTGATCAAATTTACAAATACAGTAGACAAAACGAGTGATATATCAGTACCCCATCGTCGCATACCCACGGGTGATCTCGTCTTTTACTCATCACCCGTGGGCAAACTCGCCGAAATATCGTCGTAAAATATGCTAATTGTTGATTATAGACAACCAATCCGAAAATTGGAGCTCTTCAATTTTGAAAATACGTTTATTAAATTGCTATTTATGCTTAATAAATTGACATTCGTTAAAAGGTGCAATTTTTTTTTCTTTAAAACGTTTAAAACAAAATGTACAGGTCACTTACATCAAATACCAGGAAGAAATTACATCAGTGGGAGTACCTTAAGTTTCTCAAACTGCGAAATGCACCGATGAGTGGATTTATTTGCAATCCGTGTGTTAACCACGGAAAAGTTTTTGTCATTGCCGAACACACATAAACTTTAATTTGTTGATTTGCCATCGCGACTCTGTGGAGAAGCCAATCAAATTACCCGCGCATATTAATTACATACTACGATTTTTCGGCGAGTTTGCCCACGGGTGATGAGTAAAAGAGATCACCCGTGGGTATCTGACGATGTCAATACCCATTCTTTAAAAAAAAAAAATTACTTTATAATATTTCTGTGGTTCTGCATTGTGACGTCTTATTAATACTTCATATTTACATTCCACATGTATTTTCCGGATTTTTTGAAAGATATAATCTCATAACTGCAACGGTGTGTGCAAACAAATTTTCATAACGCGCGTTTCTAAATTTGTTTGCACATACCGTTGCAGTTATGAGACTATATCTTTTGAAAAATAATAATTCAATGCTTATAAAGATTGCAATCAATTGTTAATTATTAGTATGATTTCATATTTGAAACTCTAAATAATTTCACATTTCAAGTCAGTTTTGGAGGCATAGAAACCTTAGGTTACCTCATAAAGTATCTGCTTCAATGTACAAAAATTACGATAATTTTTGTTTCCAGATGTTCAGGTTCACGTTAAGTCAAATTGAACTCGGTGGAAAGGTTCTGCAAATAATATTATATGATAACTTAAGATAACATAAGCTATCTTTAATGCTAAAGTTTTTAAACTAAAATTAAAAGCTTATCGATACTTGAAGTATATGTTATAATCAAAAAGAAAATGCAAGCATCAAGAGAAAAATTAAAGCTCGTTCAAAAACAATTTCTGTAGATGTCAGACATTTGTTTGATGGGTTGTGATCATTTACCAAATTTATCCAAAGTCAGTAATAAATAAAAATGTTACATGTATCATGCGCGGATCTAGAAGGGGGGGGGGGGGTCGTAAAAGAAAATCTACCAAGAAATGAAATTGCTGTACAAATGGACCTTGCCAAAAATTACACCTGTAAAACACTGCCGAAATAAAATCGCTTAATATTTGAATCAATGCCCAGTTACAAAACACCCAGTTGTTGTGTATTTCAGAAATGCATCGAATTTAAACACAAAAAGATTGCGTTATCTCAGACGAACTCTCTAACTATACCAGTACCGTATGCTCATTCTAAGATGTTCTTAGACTTAACTCCCAATTTAAAACTCTATGCCCCAGTGTTCAAACTGTTCACTACTGGACAGATATAGTCCATCGAGTCGGTACCGCAACAAAACAATTTTTAATTTTGTGGCAGAAGTAAGGGTTAATGTACGAGTAGCGCTCCATTTCTTAAAAGTAATGGAACCGAGGCCCCGAAAGGGCCGAGGCCCATTGCTTTTAAAGAATGGAGCGCTACGTGTATATTAAGGTTGAGGCTATCTGGTACCGCTTGCAGGGTTACTAGCAGGAGTTATCTCTCCATAAGTGCGTACGAGTTATCTCGCATTTCAACGGTGATATACATGAATTTGTACCCTTATTAAAAAGTTCCGCATCAATCGTTCTCTAGAAAGGTTACTGTTTATTTGATATGTAAAACGTAATAATTAAGAAAAAGAAAGGGAGAGAGACAATTAAAGTCCTCTAATTCCTGATTTGGGAGCATACAGTGCATTCGAACTTAGGGGTGGAGTGGGAGTGGGTATCGTCCCAATGATTTTCACATTGTATAATATTCACTTGAAAAGAAAGATGTCTTTCGGAGCTCCCCACCCCCCCCCCCCCCCCCCCAAAAAAAAAAAACATGTATGATGAAGTTTATTTTTTCATTTATTTAATTATTCTTTTATATGTACATATTTATTTTTATTTATTTATTTATTTTTGTAAATACTAAATACATACTCAAGACTGCCATGTTTTCAGTTCCTTTTTGTTGTTATTCTTTTCTTTTGACAAATGTTCACTCGCCTTGTCATTCTCGCGGACATGGCATGATAATCGAACGTCTTTCTTCTTGAAATTGAAACTCTTATATTAAATTAAATTACAAAAATTCACTAGGGAACTTTGAATCCCCCTCCATGTATCAGGGAATGCCGGTATGCAAAGACTCTACATAGGCCTTTTATTAAATACTTATTTTCAATTTAATCAAGGGTCGAAAGAAAGTGTTTTTGAATGTCTCCAAGTTATTAACAGTTCTCTCTGTGTCTCTCTCTCTCTGTGTGTCTCTCCCTCTCTCTCTGACGGTAGTGAATTCTGCCCCAATCCGTGCTTACTGTGTTCTACACTTAATCTAATTTTCAGACACCCTTTATTAGCTTTCTAGTCATCATCTTCTAATTCAAAATTTTTTTTCTGTTTTTCAAAAATATATTTCATCTCATATTTTCACAGTGAACATAACAATTCCATGATAATCTTGTACAATTTACCAATAATGATAGCGTTTAGAACATTAGTATTTCAATACTATCCCCCCCAAAAAATTCGGCTTCTATATGTATGCCCCCTACTTCCGATGAAAAAAACTAAAATTCTGAAACCAGTATTCAATAGTCAAATTTATTTTCTTTAATTTTTCTTTAATGCATAATATGAATAAAGGAATGTTTAACGCCGAGAATCAACATGTAATAGTTCTAAATATGTGTTTAAAAGTTAGGACATACTAAAGTCAACTCTACCGACCGCCTAAGTTTTGCTCAGACTGTACATTCTTAAGTCCTTCTTAAGCATGGTCTTAGACTTAAGTACTCTTTATGTTAGGACCCCCAGAAAATGAAACTGCCCACCTCTAACAGGTACTACATTATGTAGCTTGTACCTGTAACACGTACAGATATCAAGTTATGATACTACCTTCCTACAGGTACCAGATTTCAAAGCTACCTATCTCTAACAGTTACCAGTCTTCAAAGCTACCTACCTGTAACAGGTACCAGATTTCAAAGCTACCTACCTCTAACAGGTACCAGATTTCAAAGCTACCTATACCTCTAACAGGTACCATATTTCAGATTTCAAAGCTACCTTCCTCTAACAGGTACCATATTTCAGATTTCAAAGCTACCTTCCTCTAACAGGTACCAGATTTCAAAGCTACCTACCTCTAACAAGTACCAGATTTTAAAGCTACCTACCTCTAACAGGTACCAGATTTCAATGCTACCTACCTCTAACAGGTACCATATTTCAAAGCTACCTACCTCTAACAGGTAACAGATTTTAAAGTTACCTACCTCTAACAGGTACCAGATTTCAATGCTACCTACCTCTAACAGGTACCAGATTTTAAAGTTACCTACCTCTAGCAGGTACCAGATTTAAAGGCTACCTACCTCTAACATGTACCAGATTACAGGACTAGCTACCTCTTACAGGTACCAGATTGCAAAACTATCTTCTAATGCTACTGCTAGTAATATCTATTATTTACCAGATAATGAATCTACCTACCTCTAACATTAGATTTTGAAGTTTCTTACTTGTAAGAGGTACCATATTATAAAGCTACTCACCTCTAACAGGCAACGGGTTTTAAAAAACTACCTACCAGCATGAGGTACCAGATTATGAAGTTCCCTACCTGTAAGAGGTACCAGATTACGAATCGAACTACCTCTAAAAAATACCACATTCAGAAGCTGCCCACCTCTTACAGGTACCAAAATATGAAACTTCCTTACTGTAAGAGGTACAGTATTATAAAATTTCCTATCTGCATGATGTACCAGATTATGAAGCTACCTACCTGTAAGAGGTTCCAAAATATGAACTAGCTTCTGACAAGCACCATATTGTGAAGTTACATGTACCTAATTGTAACAGACACTAAATTATGAAGCTACCTACCTATAATAGGTACCAGATTATGAAATTACCCACCTCTAACATGTACCAGATTATAAATTTACCTACCTGTAAGGAGTACCAGATGGTGAATCCACCTTCCGGTAATAGATATCAGATTGAAGGTGCCAACCTCAACCAAGTTTCAGATTTTCAAGATATCCAACCTGTATTAGGTACCGTGTTTTTAAGGGAGCCTTTTTCTATCAGGTTCCTTATCATAAATAGTCGCCTGCGTGGCGCAGTGGTAAGAACGTCTGCTCTAGAGTCGCGGAGTAAGGAGTTGATCCTTACGGCGCGGGTTCGAATCCCACCGTGGGACGTAGAGACCGGTCCTTCGGATGAGACCATATAAACCGAGGTCCCGTGTCGCATAAGGTGCTGGCACGAATAGGATTCCTCACTGCTCAATGGCCCTAGGTGCCGAGTATAGCTCTCCACCGGCAAGTGGTGGCGTCTCCATATGAGTGAAAAAATTCTCGAGAGGGACGTTAAACAACAAACTTATTATATATAACGTATCTCTATTGGGTGTACGATTATTAAACTACTACCTCGAACAGGTACTAATTTTAGAAACTTTCTGCTTTTGTTTAATAGCTTTATCTCTTTTCTCATGTTA